TGGTCAAGACTCACGGGTTGATAGCGTATCATTGCCAGGGCGTGGTTCTGATGGTTCGACTCACGGGTTGATAGCGTATCATTGCCAGGGCGTAGATCTGATGGTCAAGACTCACGGGTTGATAGCGTATCATTGCCAGGGCGTGGATCTGATGGTTCGACTCACGGGTTGATAGCGTATCATTGCCAGGGCGTGGATCTGATGGTTCGACTCACGGGTTGATCGCGTATCATTGCCAGGGCGTTGATCTGATGGTTCGACTCACGGGTTGATGGCGTATCATTGCCAGGGCGTGGATCTGATGGTTCGACTCACGGGTTGATGGCGTATCATTGCCAGGGCGTGGTTCTGATGGTTCGACTCACGGGTTGATGGCGTATCATTGCCAGGGCGTGGATCTGATGGTTCGACTCACGGGTTGATGGCGTATCATTGCCAGGGCGTGGATCTGATGGTTCGACTCACGGGTTGATGGCGTATCATTGCCAGGGCGTGGTTCTGATGGTTCGACTTACGGGTTGATGGCGTATCATTGCCAGGGCGTGGATCTGATGGTCAAGACTAACGGGTTGATAGCGTATCATTGCCAGGGCGTAAATCTGATGGTCAAGACTCACGGGTTGATAGCGTATCATTGAAAGGGCGTGGATCTGATGGTTTGACTCACGGGTTGATGGCGTATCATTGCCAGGGCGTGGATCTGATGGTCAAGACTCACGGGTTGATAGCGTATCATTGCCAGGGCGTGTATCTGTGCTCATCATATCATCCACTGTAGTGTCCGCCGCAACATCACTCCAGTATTCAGCAGTGTGCAAACAATGAGCCAGTAGCCTTCATATCAGTTTTGAATCAAACCAAAATATTTTTGCTGTGTGTACAATACTGCACATTCTTATCTGAAGTATTTTAATGACTTCCAGTGCTGTTTAAACCAAGTTATACACCGGTGTTATGTAGTGTGCTTCCTTGTTTTTTTGTATCGTTGACTATCAGAGTCAGCACGTGGTTGGTTCTCGAGGCAGTAATCTTCTCTTACTATCAGTAGTTGATACCAAATTGGAACAAGGGTTCATTTTACTGCTACAACAAATGTATTCACATAATACCTTCAGTGCCTGTCTCCCAGATGTTGGCTGTTTCGGAAATGTGGAAATATTACGATGTGGCATTTTCATTTATTATAAAACAAAGTTGTTATTATATCACATTGTTTCTGTTAATATTCATTAAAAGGTCATAGCGTCGTGTTTTAACAATAAAACTTGTCAGGAGTGTACTACTATCTGATGTCAGCAGTGGTGTTGAAGTTGCTAGATTTAGATGCATGTGGGGTCAGGAGTGTAATCTGGATTCTTCAAGAACAGCAAAGACTAATACAGAGCATAGTATTTTCAGGAAGGTTTCCAAGACTACAAGACTACAGGCAATGGTATTTGCCTCGATCAATGGCTTCAGAAAGCCATTCTCACCCAGGATATACAGCTTAGTGGTTAGAGCGTTCGCTCGTCATGCCGAAGACCCGGGTTCTATTCCCCACATGGGTATAATGTATGAAGCCCATTTATGGTGTCCCCGTCGTGATATTGCTGGAATCTTGCTGAAAGCGGCGTAAAACCAAACTCACTCACTCACTCACTCACACAGGATATCCTGTCTTGGCCTAAATTTTAAGTTTGACCACTGTACATTGCCAAGTGAACATTATTATTACCAGCTTTACTGATATTACCGTTGCTGTTATATACTAGCCACATAAAGAAACTGTGCATTGTCAAAATATTATCCCAGTTGATAAGTAGGATAACAATGTCAAAGGTACATATAAACTTTAATGGAGGGATCATGAGACCATAACGGGAGAATTTCAATTGAATAGTCAATCACAATGACGTCACGAGTCCACAAGCGGGACAGGGGTTAAACGACCATGTCACAAGCTCAATAACAGGTATGTCCACCATCGGCATTGAGAACAGCAGTGCATCGATGACGCATAGAGCCTATCGAACGTGCAAGAAAGGCTTGTGGGATGTCACGCCAGATTCTCTCAAGTTCTGTTGGAAGGTCAAGGACGTTATCTGGCGGATTAGGAAGACGGCGTAGACGTCGATCCATCTCGTCCCAAACATGCTCTATCGGGGAGAGATCCGGTGAATTTGCAGGCCAAGGCAGTAAGTCAACGTTGTGGTGTTGCAAGAAATCCATAGCAACCCTTGCCGTATGAGGGCGGGCATTGTCCTGTTTAAATCCTTATGTGTCTACACAGATTTAGATTTTAAATTTTTGTATGCACAGTTTCTTTATGTGCCTAGTATATATTATAACGCCATTGAAATTGGGGTTTTTTTTACTCACCATTGGTTGTAAGCTCCATTGTTATTTAAGTCCAATAGATTGTATTGATTCGTAAACCTGGTTAATATTGATCTGTTCAGTTAGGAACAATTTTTGTTGTTTGTTGGTTTGTTGGGAATCGATACCTATCACATGTTATACAATTCCGTGTTTTGCCTGATGAAGTTAGCTGATACGTATTCAACTGCACTTCTTAAATCTGAAGCATATGTGTTTTACATCTTATTGCCGACAGAATGCATCTGGTACGAATGTCACAAAAACTGAAAATGTCGCTTTCGCTCCTCTGTGGATCGTAATGCACTCGTTTGCAGTTCAAAGAAAATCAGTATCAATTCCTTATTGTTTATTTTCTTTCAATTATTCTTCATTTTCTCGAAAACAAGCTTTGAGTCAGTGTATGAAATAAGGCCCGTCCGACCGCCCGAGACGGCCTGGATTTCTGCCGGACGGTCTAATTTTACAGCTAGCAAGCCCGATGAACGGTTGAACGGTTGTTCAGATAACGTGTCCACTGGCACTGTCTATTTAGTATTTAAGAAGGACTGGTTAAATCTCTTCTGGGCTGGTAAGTTTTTGAAGTAACCAGCCCAGATGTCTGGCTGTTTTTTTGGTTTATTTCATACACTGCTCCGTGCAGATCGTTTATTGAAACATACTATTATCTTTATATCATTCATGAACAAAAATCTTCGCAAAATGTTAACATTGAAGACAGGGTATCATGTAATTAAATAGACCACTACCCATCCAGTCACACTTATTATATCCTACTCAAACTTACGTTGACGCACACATTAATTTTCGTATCCTTGGTCATGAAAAAGAATAAAATATGTTATCTTCCATTGGGTTTTGTTTAATCATTTAAACATACATGAACGTTTTGGATCAATGTTCCATTACTGCTTTATTGTGTGTTTTTGTACCCACTTCTTAAAAAAAGCAAACGAACAAATTTGAACATCGAAAGTTACACTTTCTGTATCGTAAAACCATCGGTACATGTACGTATATAATAAGAGGCCCTGTGAAACACGGGGGTATCTGCGGTATCTGAGCGTGCGCCATAATGTGACTTGGTATGTTTGAGACCTCCTCCTTGGTCTGACCACCTCCGTGGTGTAGTGGTTATAACGTCCGCCCGGAGAGCGGAAGGTCGTGGGTTCGATCCCCGACCGCGTCATACCAAAAGACGTTAAAATATGGTACTTGTTGGTCCCTGCCTGGCGTTCGGCATTAATGGGTACAACAAGGACTGGTTGGCTCGGAGTCAGTATAATGTGTCTGAGTGGGTTATTCATGCTTCACTGCGACATGGTATCACAGTGGGCTAGCACTATAAAATCAGCTTATGTCTGGGCTAGTACAAGCAGCCGCACATACTCATACACACGCATGCACGTCGTCATATGAGCGAATTATTCTCAGGCACGATGTTAAACCCAATTTCACCTCACCTCCTTGGTCTAGTAGACTGAGTGTCAGCCGGGTAGACGGCGGTTATGTGGTTCGTTTCCCTAGCCTCCTCTGCATGGGTCTAGTGGATGGCATGGTTACCAACAAGAGACAGTTTGCTGATACATTATTCCAAAGAAGGATAAAAGGTTTTAATGGTTTTAAGATCTCACTCTATACCCATCATGGTACGATATATATTTCTGAAAGCTATACCTCAGGAAATGCAGTTTTGTCGTGACAGATTGACAGAAGATCCGGGATAGAATTGGTCTTCAGCAACCCATGTTTGTTTAAGAGGCGATCAATTGGGTGGTCAGGCTCGCTGACTTGGTTGACACGTGTCATCGTATTCCAATTGCGTAGGTCGATGCTCATGATGTTGATCACTGGAATTGTCTGGTCCAGACTCGATTATTTACACACCACTGCCATATAGAAGGAATATTGCTGAGTACGGCGTTAAACAACTATAAAACTACATAGGTGACATGGACACAGACAAATACCCCCCAACACCGAACATCCAGTCAATCTGGAAGAATGGTTAAATTTCTAAAACCTTCGAAAGTTTACTACATACGAACCCTCCATTGAGCATTAATTGTTTCGTTTCAGGGCTGGGATATGAGTAGTTCACGTGATCTTATTCGTCAGCGACCAATACAAAATCTCGTATCAACGCGAATAAATAATTTCAATAGTGGGTCTGTCGTAGAAGACACACAAAGCTTTATATGGAATGGCACCCTTTGACCTGGACCTAAATTTAGTAATTCCTCTGCGTATTTCTATACGTAATTGTATCTAGACAAAGGAAGTCTTCTTCAGAAGAGGAGCGGGCCTGCTTCGAAACCACACTTTGACTAATCTGTTTAAATCGGACATATGTGTTCATCAATACACATTCACAACTTCCATTATTCATTTTCAGAATATAGGTTATGAAGGGGAATTCCTCAGGAGTTCGTCAATCCGCAGACACGATGCGATACGGCAATGTGGGGAAAGTCCATAAACTCGAATCATCGCAACAGTTTCTGCTGCGATAACCTGGACCAACAGAATGCTGCAAATTGTCTAAGGGAATTAAATGCTGCGCAACTGTATAACCCTGCATCAAATGACCAATGGCTGGTGAGTCACCTCAATGCGTCACCAATAATCAACCAATCAAATCTTGCAACCGGCGCGTCCTTCACCAGGCATGCGGTGGCCATTTTGAGAGTGGGGAACAAAGGGAGAGCAAGAGTCCAGTGACAGGACAGCTTTACCATCAAGCTAAGAGCCATGTCCGACTCCGATCAACAACAGGAGGAAAAGCCGGCGGTAGTTGAAAAGAAAGTTCTAGGTAAATATGTCAGATTTGTGTGAAATTTTAGATTTTAATTTCGATGCAATTGAGGTCAACCTCGTGGTCTCCCACCGGCGTTCCTACACGCGTCATGTTTTGTCGTCTCGTCATCATAATTTGTGTTCTTCGTGTAAAAGACAAAAGGCAATTGACAGTTTATTATTTTCCTTTGGTTTTAGCAACGAGGGTCACCGGTACCGTCAAGTGGTTCAACGTTAAGAGCGGATATGGCTTCATAAACCGGTAAGATATCATTAGAAGATGCCGATAGACCGGTATGTTTGTAACCGCATATATGTCGAAGTGTGTGGCGCAATATGACAACTGCCTATCGGGTAGGTTACTTATATTGTCAAAGTATCCAAATTATACCATCATTTCGTTTTTTATTAAGTTTCTATTGAAATGATTGCGTTTTAGTGAAGGCCACGTGGCTTTGGAATGTTAGCCATTTTGTCTAGAAAAGGGGGCGTGCCCGTGTTCGGCATGGTCTGCGTGCGCGCTCCAGAAAGAAATAGCCAGCTACCTGCAATTTGCATACGCAGCAGCTGCACTTGTGTGGAGAAAGTGCAGGTTTAGCTGCTTTGGGAACGATTTACGAGTAGGTAACTTTTCGTTGAACATGGTGCAATTGCATGCGTCATAAGCATGCTACAAAAGAATTTCAAGGTTCGCTAATCAGATAAGCTCTAAGCAGGCGTGCGTGTACTCTCATGCTCGAACTTGCAACATTTTGTGGAGGGATTCGGATTAGCGGGTTTGCATGGTGATTTCCTGGTGTAAACTCAAGCTGGTTTCATATGCTTTGTGGTTCCTACATGTATTCAGCCTTTGTATATAATCCAAAGGCTTGTGCAGACGACTGTAGCTTGCGACTGCGATGTTTGCAGTCCCTTATAATATTTTGAAAAGGCACTTTGTTTCACATTGTAAATGTTTACCTCAGATTTCCTTTTGTATGGTGTTATGAAATGAATCCTCTTTATTATATAAATCCATTTTCCCAGTGCCAGATATTATTTGTCAGTAGGCCCTAGCAGTGGGACCTTAGGATACAGTGCTTAATGTAAATAGCGAAAAACATCAAGGAAACATGAGATAAGATCATTTCACAAGATTTATCTTTACAAATGACCACGCAAACTACCCAGTATAAAATACAATTTTGCTGTTTGAATCATTGTGCTAAAATCACACAAGTCTTATTTACAAAACATTCACTGCCATCTTTAATGAAAGCAGAACCAGGTTTCACTGTTTTCCTTCAGGCTCACACATAGACATAGATTTCATATTTTACTTTGTGGTTTGCAGGATCCGTTAGCTTTGTTTGTATGTTCTTCAAATCAAGAGACATGCTTTACCTCTTAACATCAGAATTGATAGTTTAACCAAGAAAATTTAACACCCATAACAAGTATTGTATAAAGCTGTACAAGGGATGATGTTATTGCATATACTCTTTAACAGGGCCATGTCAAAGACTTGATTTTGTTGTGTATATCCAGATTTGAAACACAAAGCTTCACCTAAAAATTGGTAGTACATGATTCAAAACCAACAACCGCCCACCCTTTTTTTCGAAATTGACTAAAGACCACGTTGAAAGTAATATGTTGTATTGGTGTGTGTGTGTGTGTGTTCAAGGGGTTAGAACACCCTACCCACCCAAATGTGAAAATTCCTAGATCCGCCTATGGTATATGACAACAAACAAAATGCTTATGTGGTTTTGTCTCCAACAAGAAACAATATCCAACAACTGATCCGTGATGTCCAGAAATAAATCACTCAAAGCAGTGAACACACCATGTTATGCAAGTCTTTTACCAATAGTAATGTCATAGATATGTTAACATTGTTCTAAATATTTGGTATTTTTCATTGAGGAGAGGTATATCAATGAGAACACACATGCTCAATCTATCCTTAAACACTGTCCCAGTTTATTTTACTATGTATTTGACTGGCAATAGACAGGAGACCAGTGTAAATCAATTTGCGTCAATTAAATCAAGATCTAAGGGGAATAACTCTGGCCTGTTCAGTTCACATAAGAAAAGGTTAATTTTTCTTTTGTGTACTCTTGCCATTAAGCAGAGATGCCGACTCATACGATTGTATCGTATTCCTTACGAAAAAACTACACAAAATACGTGACTACAATAGCAGTAAAAATATACACATTTTTTTAAAAACCCACTAGATTATCAATAGCATATGTACCATAAACAATTGCAACCACATTTTATTCAGTATCAAGCAATATGTGGATACTTACTACTTATATAGGTGAGTACTATGTTAATAACAACTCCTTAGAATATCTATATATTCTGTATTAAATATGAAAATTCTTTGGAAAGGTTAATACTAAATTTTGCCAAAAAATGCTTTTTGTTTGCATCAGTTTTTGGCCAAAATACTAATTGGGTTAAATTAAGGTTGGCATCTCTGCTTAAGGCCAATTTCCTGTGTAGTTTCAAACATGGATCACAGGTTTAGGTTTAAAGTAGATAATGAAACTGACCTTATTTTCAGTGATGACACCAAGGAAGATGTGTTTGTCCATCAGACAGCTATAGTGAAGAACAACCCAAAGAAATACCTAAGAAGTGTGGGGGATGGGGAAAAAGTGGAATTTGATGTAGTTGAAGGGGAAAAGGTATGTATCATTTGACATTTCATGTATGCTACTCCAAAGAACTGTCATGTCATGTGGCTGTCAGTAAGAATTAAGTTTTACAGATAGGAGCCAAGTAGTGGTGGGAGTCTGTTGAAATTTCATAATCGATTATTGGTTGCAATCGGATCAATGTTTGATGGCACAATCGGTTACAGTGATTAAGAATTAAATATTTTGTACAACTTGTGCAATTCCCAGGTAAACATTTTTGCAATACTGTATGTTTGTCATTTTTTTAATTATGTGATAATAAGGAGCATATATGAAATATATCGGCTTTTGTGGTTGCTTTTTGTAAAAAACGTGACTTGAGGGTGCATCTACTAGAACTTAAAAACTCCTGAATTTATTTTTCATAAGTTTTAATTGTCATTTGAGGCAAGATTGTACAAAATCACATGCAACCCAAGTCTACATTGATCAACAAAAACGTGTACAAAAATAAATACTGACAGACTACCAAGATAAAGAAAAGATGACTGTCAATTCACTCTTTTGCAGATTTTACACAATCACAACAAATCCTCACAATTTCTTCCAAATTTGGACCCACTTTTTACACTAATGTACCGTATATGACCGTAGATAAGCTGAATTTTGAGGACCAAACATAGCAGTCTGTAGAAGGGGGTGGCTTATCTGTGGGTTACACTTTGTCAAACTTTTTCAGGGGATAAGAAAGTGACATTGTGTCACTTTACATGAACAGACAACTTTGTCAGTAAAGACATCAAATTTGCAATTAAACATCACTAGACAAGATTAGTTACCTTTTCAGTTCTAATTTGTTTTGCTAAGCATCGTATTATATGTTTATTTGTCTCGTATGTATAGCCAGAAATAGCAATCAGCCGTGCACACATTTCCCAGTGATGAATTCTGCTGCAGTGATCGGTAAAATATAATATCTAAAACTATTATTTTACCAAGAGAAATATATCCTAGCATTGTGTAATTTTACTTACAGGTTTTGCTCTATAAATGTAAAATATGTATAATCAATACTAAGGTTATATGGACCCTCGCAGACATAGTAAGCTGAAGTTGAACACGCATGGAATGAGGTGAAATGAACTTGCCATTTCACACACGTTTTCACCGATGTTACTGTAAACTAGGGCCTCCATGAATGACGAGGCGGTAATCAGTTCGTGATTGTTGAGAATAATCTGAAATTGGTGCTATCGCTGTTGGAGCGAAAATCGTACCCACATGAATATGGTAGCGAAAGTTGTACACACATGAAATGAGGTGAAATACACATGCCAGTTTGTTGTGATTGCCAGCTACAATAAATATGACATTTAGCAAAACAAAATATATATGTGTATCCATTTTCTGTCAACTACACCGAAGTTATGATTATTGCTTATTGCCCGTTGTCTTGTGGTCTGAGTTGGGTATTCATTACTGTTTTTCTAAGAAAAATATTAGTGACAATCGATTATGAAATTTTGCAATCAATTGTTGCATCGGAAAAGGGTAACCAATCAATTGATTATAATTGATCATCGTAACACTAGAGCCAAGAATATAAAAATGAACAATTGTGGTAAAAACAAAAATACGTTTGAGTTTTATGGATTTGAAAAGATTTGAGTTGTGGTGTGAACCTTATCAAACCTTGAAAATAAAAAAAACTTGCTTGAAAAATCCTTCAACTTTTTATAAAACTTACATACTTAAGCCAAATAAAAAAAATGTTGTTCCGATTACACCTCTCTAAAATTTAGGGTAGGTAGGTAGGAATTCTGGGGGTTTTTACATTTTTTTTTAGAAGTAAAGTATGAACTAATAACACATTTATCAATGTGTAATTGTTTATTCAATCAAGCTTGCAGCCATCATGTTGACTTTCTCTATCAGAATGACTCATGTCCATTGGTGCCAGGCAAAAGCAATGGTATCTGAAAGCTTATTTTATTCATACCTCTTTAAAAAAACTAGGGTCGGCAGCAGAATTCAAGGGTCAGTTGGGTAATCGGAACCACAACATTATTTTTTTAGGCCTTATGGGCCCATTTATTTTGTTTCATGGGTGTGAAAATGTTATACTTTATAGATTTTATGACAATTATTTGGTGTTCTGGATAGTAAAAAGAAAACCTACAACTCATGACAGTTGAAAGCCTTGGAGGGCCTTGAATATTATGGTAGGTTTCTGTAAGAACCTTGGAAAAGATATAATCTACAGCATCTCCGTGGTATTCTCAGTGACATAAATGTTAGCTGTAGAATCACCTGCTTTTAGCATTTGGTATGTCATTGTGTTATGCTCTTACAGGGTAACGAGGCAGCCAGCGTCACTGGACCCGGCGGTACATTTGTCCAAGGCAGCAAGTATGCTGCTGACCGCCGTAGATACCGACGTAACTGGTACCCCAGGGGAGGAGGTCGTGGTGGTGGTGGTGGCCCCAGACGACCTGTGAGTACTTTCATCGTATTAAGTTGGGTACTTATCTGGGTCTTTAGTCACTCTGTTGAAAAAAAATCCTAATTCGGCATTATATTGTCCCCAGCTGTCTAGTAATCAGTAAAGGAAATAGTGTGAACAGGGATACATGAAGGAAATGAGGTTGTACTAATAGTCCTGTGGACTCTGTATGCCATCCTGTTTCATAATCACTGTGGAAAGGGTAGCTTTTAGCATGGTGTCCTTTTAGTGAAGGAAGATGAAGTTACCCGTATCCTTAATAGATGAAGACGGAAATTGAATATGTATTTTTGGCCTTAGCTCATTCACACCAAGATGTTTGAGATTACAACCAAGTCTTTTGCTGACTGTTGGCTTTGATTTCTCTACCTGGTCTTGCAGTACTATGAAGGACCTGAGGAGGAAGAAGAAGAAGGCGAGCCAGAACACAGACCCCCACCCCGTAGGCGACCATACTGGGCTCCTCGCAGATACTATCGGGCTCCCATGCGAGGCCGTGGGCCGCCACGTGGTTACCAAGGAGATCGAGACCGAGAGGGACAGGTACATATTCTATTGGCTGTGTCGTGGATTTTCCAGTGTTACATGTCCATCTTGCCCCCTCTTTCACAACCTGAGTGTACTGGTGCATAGTTCCTGAGTATGTTTTTGACACTGCTTTTAGCAATATTACAGCAACATCACAGCAACATCACAAGAGACTACAGAAATGTGCCTACACATTGTACCCACATGGAGTTGAAGCGAGTGAATGCTCCAACCACAATACTAGCAATCTATGCTGAATTCTGTGCATATAGATCAGCTTTTTAAGTAGTACCTTCTTTTTCTTTGTGGGCAGGCTTGGGATTATGTAAACATCATATAATGAATCTGAGGCTGTACTTGCGGTGCTGCTGTCACCAGGCATTCAGATGTGTGTTCTCTTGCTTGCAACGGCCCCTCTCAAATTGAAGTACTGTGTATTTGGATAGGGCAGCTACATTTGGTATTGTTTGAACTAGTCTCCAAACAAAGAGGGCAAGACCAGGACTTCACAGTAGAGTGGAACACGTGATAATCAAGAGTGGGTCGTCATGAAAATAAGTTTGTTTACAGTTGTTGAAGCCTGGGAAATTGCTCAATATATGGCATTTGGACATTTTCATAATGTTGATGTTAATAGGACATCTTTCATTACGAAATTTGAAAGGTTAGAAAAACTTTCAAGCTGTTTAGGCAAGCGATTAGCCTCAGTGACTTGGTTGTCACTGTACCCTCTTATGTGGATCAGAGCTCACAAAATCAGACCCTGAACTGTCTTGTCCAGGCTCGTATATTTCCCATCCACGAAGCTGGAATTTTGCTGAGCATCCAACAAAGCCAAAGATTGAACTATCTACTGGACACCTTTGTATGGTTCATTTTCTTTGTGCATTTTACTTATATCAATCTGAAATCATTGAAGCAGATGCTTGTGTAACTTTCTTGGATTTCTGCTTATAGGTAGAAGGTGATTATGAGAATGGAGGACAACGGATGCCCCCCCAACGCCGCCGGCCCTTCTACCGTCGCTTCTACCAGCCACCCAGGCATTACTACGACCAGGGTATGCCTATGGGACAGGGAGGACCTGGACCCCGAGGTCCACCAAGACGCAGGCGAAGACCAGCCAAGAAGAGGGTAAGAGCACTTCAGTTAAAATTGCAGTAGCATCACTTCTTCACAAGGATGAGTATTCTCTCTCCTTTGTTCCTTGCCTTTCCCTAACGAAGTCGCGGTTCTAATGTTGGTGTATTGCTGAATGCAGCATCAAGCACGATCCTTTTATTCCTGCGATCAGTCTCTCCACTGCGATGTACAACTGCATATACTTGCTTAAGCTTTGATTGAGATGTTCTTAGTGGCCGGGTGGGAGCTCAGTGTGTCCTGTGATATGTTGTCATGCAAACAGAATTAAGAACTTCAATAGTCACGCAAACAGAATTAAGAACTTCAATAGTCACAACGCATTTTCAATTTTAGATTATCATAAGTACATTTGTTGTTACATTGTAGTTCAATTGTGTAGTTAGGGATTAGGATTTAATGGTATTTCACGTCAGTTGGGGACTGACTGCATTGTTGATGTTTACTCTTTCACTGCAAGGTAACATTATCTCTTACAGGATGATCAGGAAGGTGATAGCGATAATAAGAAAAGCTCTGACACCAAACAATCTGAGGGAGAGTCATCCCCCAAAGATGAGGGCAGCTCCAGTGCCGCTGCCGACAAAGCAGAATAGATAAACAAGTCAGGGTTAGCGGCAATGTCTAACCTATTGCCAATCGCCGTGCGTACGTACGTCATTGTCAACTGGTACCAGCTGCAGTGTACTGACCACCTGTGTAGTGACTTCTCAAGCTGAGCTTAGACAACATTAAACTACTGCACATGCAGGGAGAGTTAGGTGGATGGAACGCCTGTATCAACTATGCATCCACAAACTCTTGACAAACGACAGATTTCAACTGCCAGACTTTTAAGTTAATACATTCTTGACTTTTTGTACTTGGACAATTTTTGTACTTTACTATTGAATTTTATTGAAGATATCTATTTTTTTGGTGTTCCAAGAACAGTGATGTATTTTGATGTAGTTGATTGGTGTTGCATCCATCAGATGTCAATCAATTTTTTTATTACAGTAGCTATTATTTGATTTGGAAGTTTTCCATCCTCGTTTTTTGCCCAAGGCTTTTTGTGAAATAACAAGCATGTGCATAAATAAATTTTGCCAACACCCAGAATTGTCTCGGTTTTAATTGTACTATGTTTACAGAGAAATCGATAAGATGCTGGTCTATTATTCTTCCATACATGTTGCCAATAACTGCTTGCAACTTGTGTGATTCATTGTATAGGAGATAATGTACAGATACATACTTATCCAGGTATTTTGACTTGCAAAAGTATGTTTGTAGGTTGGTCTGTCCCAGCCCCAAAAGTAAATTAAGAGTCAACTTGAGTCTGGAATAAGTTTTGACTGCCCCAGCTCCATGGTCTGTCCACATGTGAAAGGCTCACAAGTCACATTCTGGCTTATCAGTTTATCTTGTTCTGCGTGGTGGGCGAGCTGGCTAAGGCGCCAGGCTAGTGATCCAACGAGTTTGAGTTGTTGGGATCGAGCCCACCTGTGACCGGAGTCAGCTTTGTGTGCAGACTCTATCAGTGTTGTCACAACCCCTAGTGTACAGTACACAACCCTGTGCACTTAAAAGAACCCATGAATCCGTTGGTATATGACCAGATGGTGGCCACATGAATACGTGCAAACACCTAGTTGTGGGTACAGCAACGTGCAGTGAACTTGGACAAAGTACTGTGACTATGTCCCAGTCCACCCAGCTGTGAATGGATATCCTCGTGAAGATGAGAAAGCCACAATAACTCAGTGTGCCTGGTGGCTGCAAGAGTTGCATACTCCCCAGGGAGTTCAGATTGATAACACAATGTGCCGTTTGACATCTAATGATCGACGGAAAAATACCAGCGCCTTGAGCAAGCACTTGTTGCCTGGATAAGTGCGCTATATAAATATCATATAAAAAGTATAATAATTCTGTAAATTGGGGTCTACAGCTGATGTGAACCTCACTGACTTCCAAAGAAACTTGGTAAATGCCAACTCTTGGGCTCACAATAGCACATTGTGCTCCATTAAGGCTTCATGAAAGTGCTCTTACTTAAACAATACAACATAAATGTGTTTTCAGAGAGCAAATGTCTGAAGCTAATACATTTTCAGTGACACAGTACACAACTTTTTTCTCAACTAAATGAATTTCTCAATTTAAATGAATCTAATATGCACACGCAAATAACGACTGGTGTAAATACGTGGATCCATATAGGAGAAAGTTTTTCAGATGAGACTTAGAAATTGGTTAGAAAAGGCTTCTTGTATGAGCTCAAAATTGCAAATATACTTATTTATGTTTTAAGGAAAACAAATGTCTCAATCCACTGCTTTTCTACAAAGCTGAAGAGACACATGAGCGTATATATATATCGCAGTGAAGACCTAAATGGCCTCAAAACAAAAACTCAACATATGTCTGTGTTAAAAATGTTTTATTTGGAAAATATTTTTAATGTGGACTGAGCATCATCACCAGACCTGCTGGAATTACGTAACCATGGATAATGTATAACAAACAACTATTTAATGCAGATGGAAACCAGTTTTACAAAATAACAAACTCAATAACTGCCAACATGTGAAGGCATATCTTTGGGGTGGTATTTGCCACAAGGTTTCATTACAAGGCCATAAACTATTCTAGATCCAAAACACTTATTGCACAGAATTAATGGATCTGGTTGTGATGTGTATAGTTTGAATAGAAGGTATAATATGCTTAATTTGTTCAAATTGATTATTAGAGAAACATTCTAATCTGATTGTTTCCATGAAGACCCAATCATCATTGGCAACAGCATCAATTTTCTTCACACAGTTGATAAAATATGGAATGTATGGAAATTGTGAAAAATATGCAAGTGTAAAAACTACTGGCAAACAAGGATTTGTTGGACCAGCACACAGAACGCGTTGAAGAGAAGTAGAATGAGCAAACCCATTTGGTTTGTGAAAGGTAGAGCAGATGTAGGCATGTGCATTGCATGATGAAATTGATTCCGCGCATAGCTGCACACGCCTTGCTCATAGGACTCTCACGTCGGTTTAGCAAGTCGCACTACACTTGATCGCGGACAACCTGGGGCCCCTTCGCTAACAATGGCAAGCGCCAGTGGGTGGCACTCATACATGCTAATACGGGTCAAATGTCAGTGCTCAACTTATCCTTGTTTGCCAGTAAAGTATGTCCTTAAATGGACATGGTGAATGATAAACATATTTACAAAAGTAACTGATTTGAATGCTGTGTACATTTCTAATAAATTGAACATACAAACTAAATACATGAATAATGTATACATCCTTCTCTGGGTCATATTTATATGTGATAGAAAGCAATTCCACAACTTAATATATACCACAACAGAATGTGAAGTATACTCAATGGTTTCTGGCCTGTCATAGAATCTTATCACTAGCAGCAAAGATACACCATTATGGGTCACATAAGAAGTACCTTTTGTGAACTGCGCTTTCTCGAGCTCGATGGCACAAGATTAGACTGCCAAATTACATGCCAGACTAAGCTTTGAAAAACACTGCTTAAAGATTCGAAAACTGAACAAGGTTATATAGGCAATGATTTTGACAGGATCAGTCACACAACATAAACTCTACTTCAGAATACATGGTGTTAACCTTTTCTTAATATTAAAAACCTATTTCAACTGTAACTTTCCAAACCTGGCAAGCATGGCTCTGATTGGCTGGATGAAAGATTGTTCTTGCACTTATTGTTCTTCATCCATCAACCAATAAGTGACCTTACTATGACTGGGGTGAGCCAGCAAATGATGACACAATTATCAGCTCCTGGCTTGTCAAAGGGATGTAACTCTGAACCACAGAGAAGGAAAATGTATTTGTACAACTAACCCAGAAGAGGCGATGGGAAGATAAAACATCTTACAGTAAAACACAATGCCCAGTCACCAAGGAATAATAGTCTTACATGACATTACAATAACACTGATGTTTCATTAAATATTTACACCTCAGCATATCACAGACATAGCATCCTATAGACACTGCTTGAAACCTGAGAACCAAATATTTCAAATTTAGTTCATAAGTTTTTCCCTTCTCATTTTTACGTTCCTCTCGCATGTACAGTCCATTTGAGTCAGAAACGGACCGATGAATTGCACATTTTATCATTAGGAGGAGTGCAGAGAACGGGACAGCCAGGTGTTAGAGAAGCATGTGCACAAGTGCCCACCAAGTTATTGATTCATTAGCCTGTGCTGTGCCGTCTCCATCCTTTTCTCGCACACCTGGCTGTCCCTTTCTCTGCACTCCTCCCTCATAACAAATAGTGAACTGTGTCAAAATTTTAATGATAGTTTCTTAAAGAACTTTTTTGGTGGAGTCGGGAAAATTTTCAAATATAAGAAAGCTGTTGGGTATTAGTAAATGATAAACATGTGTACTATTTATATTTATGTGGCAATTTTGTACAATGATAACATTTGCATTTTGATGAATTCAACGGTCCGCTTCTGACTCTAAATGGGTTATGTTTGTTAGTGCGAAGCGAAACGGACTGTAGACAGATTCTAAGGTTTCATAAAACACAGGAAATAATTCGGTAAACAAAAATCTACATGAATACTGACTTGGAAGATTAAAACAACAGGAGCTGACAAAACGTTCTGAGGAGTGTGACCACCAACTTTAGTTACTATTGTCATTTATCAGTATACCATGTGACTGTGGGTACCAGGGTCCTTCTTCAACCTGACCAAATGGTTGGTTGGTTTGTTGTTTAACGCCGCACTCAGCAATATTCCAGCTATATGGCGGCAGCCTGTAAATAATTGAGTCTGGCAAATGAGATACCTGTCCAAGCCCTATCAACTGCCCAATGCTTATCTCATGTGGTCTGGTGAGAGTCTGGGACATGGTTGATACTGTAGAATAAGTATCATCTTAATACTGTTGATCTGTAAGCAATTACGACAGACTAGTACAAAAATAAATTTTTTTTCATAATACTTGGTGTAAAGATTTGATTTATGGTATCATAAACGCATCAATGACAAGAATCCACAGTACACATCAACACCTCACTATCAGTGTTTACACGGTACACTCATCTCATACTCCAATCATGAAATAAATGGTTGGCCAAACTGATCCAACTGTGAAACACTTGCATCATGACATTAATGTTAGTAGCCCTGGTTTTGAACTAATTAACAATAATAACAAGATCGCTCACTTAGAATGAGTGAGGGAGTTTAGTTTTACGCTGCTCTTAGAACGTTACAGCAATATCACGGCGGGGACACCAGAAATGGGCTTCACACATTGTGTGACGAGCAAACGCTTTAACCACTAGGTTACCCCAATGTCCCCATTCACTTAGAATTCCCAGATACAGTACTGGGTGAGTAATACTATCATAAACTTCATTTAAACTGCTTGTCATGTGATCTAACGTCCATGAAATCAATGGCCGAAAATTCCCCAAAAGGATTAGTTCGACAATGATTTTACGCAAGAATACATACAAGAGATATCGAAATCCTAGATAATGAGCAGTTACTCATCAGGATCTGGTCATTACTTGGGTGAGTTTTGCTTGAAAAACTATAGAAGAGGATACCAAAATACAGTCATTACTGTTTGATATGTAAGCGTACACAAACTGACCACACTTAACACTGGACTCGGTGAGAAGCACTGGCTAAAGATAGTGCTCAGTTACACTGTTCAATGGGAGCTTGACTTTGAATAGCATTGTTTTTGGCCATGTGCAGTTAACCAGACATGACTATAAACTATAATATGTCAAGATAAATAATTTGCTCATGTGAGACTAAAGGAAAGAGTCCCCACATTATACACAAGTGTGCATTATACATAAGAGAATACTGTATTGGGATAATAACAGTGTTATGGCCTACATTTCACTTTAAGCAAGGCCAGGTGATACAGCCATGTAATACAGAGCTTAGCGTCTTTCCGTCTTGAGAATGTTATATGTGCCACAAACACGAGCAGCACTTCACGGGTTCGTAACAAACACCTGTATGATCTGGAACGTTCAGGACACTGTTTTTCTTCACTCGATTTGCAATCCAAAATGGAGCCATCAAACCGAAAATGCCTGAAATTGAAATAAGAACCATAACTTAGTGAAATCGTTACATCTATGTTGCAAAAGAATTAGGTTAGCAGTGTTGCACTGCTTTCTTTGTTGTTTAACTCCCCAGTCTGCAATATTCCAGTCCTGTGACCGCAGTTTATACATTACCAAGTCTGCAGGTGACAAATTATGAGAAACAATCTATTTTGGCAGGGTACAGTGTCACACTAACAGCCCACACCAGGGACAACTGGTAGTCTTGACCACAGACTTTGTGTGCCATTCTCATGAGTGTTAATCGGCTCCCATGGTCGAGACTACCAGTTGTCTGACTTCTATTTTTGTGGAAACCGCGATGGCTGAGTTGGTTAGGCGTCTGACTTTGTGTGCTGGCGATTAGGTACCAGACTCTCGAAGTTTGGGTTTGAATCCCGGATAGGACTCAACTCAACAAAAGTACTAGAATCTGTCCTTTACTGAGAAAGTGTAATCCCCAAAATAAATGTGTTTCCAGATGTTCTTAAAGCAGATGGAAAGTTCTAACTATGAGGAAGAAAAGTCCCTAGATTTGTCACATAATTGTAAACAATTATTTGGGAAACTGGTCGAGATACCAGTGTATACTTACACATGCTAATGACTGACAACACAGCCAGCACGACTGATAATGTGTACAAGGCTTCAGTGGTCCTGCTCTGAAGTGAGAAATATCCTGCATGAATAGACATGACATGGAACATTAGAGGGACACTGGGGATAACAGCCTGCTGTCGTGGTCATCTTTTACTGCAGAGGTCAATATCGAGGTTACTGGGGGTCACCAAAGGGTCATGTACCTCTTTAAGCATGTTAATCAGGCAGAGACCCGTTAGTGCAGTAAGTCATTTGTCCATCTCACACTGTCTGAAGCAATGACTGCTTGACATGCCATGGATGAACTGACACACTAATCAGATTGGTTAAAACTGATGACCTGTCCTCTGCCGACAGTTTCAACTTGTTTTGCTGAAAGGTGAGGTGAAATTGGGTTTAACGTCGTGCTTGAGAATATTTCGCTCATATGACGACGTGCATGCGTGTGTATGTGTATGTGCGGCTGTTTGTACTAGCCCAGACTTAAGCTGGTTTTATAGTGCTAGCCCACTGAGATACCACGCCGCAGTGAAGCATGAATACCCCACTCAGACACAGTATACTGACTCCGAGCCGACCAGTCCTTGTTGTACCCATTAATGCCGAGCGCCAGGCAGGGACCAACAAGTACCATATTTTAACGTCTTTTGGTAGGACGCGGTGGGGGGAAGGTGCAAGGTGTTTTATAAAGGCCAAGATTCCTGACATTTTAGTAAGGCTACCATAGTTTGGGGATATCAACGCTGGGATCACTCATACAAAGTTTCAGTTTGAAACTGCAAAAGCAGATGACGACATGTCACAAGGTAAGGTAATTTGGTGCAAAAAAACAAAACATGTTACCGTGAACCCCAATAATAACAACACATGCATCAAATTTCATAAGAAACAGCCATAAACTAGTTATTCAAAATGGCTGCTGTGGTGGCAATGATGAAATTCAGAATCAGAAGTCTTAAACAAATCCATGTGACAAAATATGTATGTGAAGCTTCAGATTTATTGAACAACAAGTCATTTTTTCTGAGAAGATGTTTACAACACACAATGGAAAACTGATTCTAGACAATCAGACCACAACATAAGCTGACTTTAATGTTTGTCGAGTGAGCTAAAATTGAAGGAAGTTCTGAACCAAAATCAACTGACAAAGATCAGGTTATGACATGCAGAGTTACCTCCCTTATACTCTAAGCTGACTGGACTGGCAGTATTGGCCCTAACATCTGTTATTACAAACATCATGAATGCGCCATAGCTTCAACTTACACACGACTCAGCTTTGGATGTCAAGATAACCTGAGCCAGGCTGATGACGAAAGACGTGCCCCCAAACACATGGAACCCAACCTTCACTGCTCTCGGGACCGGCATCATCACCAGGAACAGGAAGGTGAATCCTGAACAAGAAACAGGAAGTCTTTAAAACATGTGTTTCTTTAGTCTTAACTGTTTTGTAAAGAATGGATTCTGGTTCTGGGCCCCGTTCCTCAAGGCAATCGGAAGGCTAAGATGATCGTAACTCCCATACTTTAACATAGACTTACGACTGTCGTAGCGCTACGATCGCTTTGAGGAACGGGGCCCTGGACTGGATCATGGTTTCAGGTATGTATCTATGACCAACACGACAAGCATGGTAACAAATAACAAAGTAGAGACAGGGTTTCCATATGATTTTGGAAAATGTCTGTGTGTCTTTTACTCCCCTTTGACACCTCCCTGCATCAAGATCTGGACACATCACAATAGCAACATGGCACCATCAAACTAATATAAAGGATGCTTGGGTTCTTGAGCCAATCAAATTTCAGACTTTGATACGACTTTCATTTTTTCACCACCTTGATGGCAAATGTTTACCCGAAAAAACAAAAACACACAGAACACAAACATTCTTTGATGGGATTCGTGGTACTCCATAGTGACAGGGCACCCAAAGTATCTACCACAAGACGGGAGTGATTTTAGTTTTACGCCGCTTTTAGCAATATTCCAGCAATATCACGGCGGGCCACACCAGACTGACTGACTATGGTTTTACGTCGCTTTTAGCAATATTCCAGCAATATCACGGCGGGGGACACCAGAAATGGGCTTTACACATTGTGCCCATCAGGGGATTCGAACCCGGGTCTTCGGCGTGACGAGCCAATGCTTTAACCATTAGGCTACCCCACCGCCCGGCCACACCAGAAATGAGCTTCACATATTGTACCCATGTGGGGAATTGAACCTGGGTCTTTGGTGTGGCGAGCGAACCCTTTTAACCACTGGGCTACCCCACCGCCCCACACGACATGAAGCAAATGACATAAACCAGACAAATGGACACACAGACACTATGAAGGATATTAATCATTTACAGATAGAAATATAATAAAATTGCAGAACATTTTAAAAAATGTAAATATATTTTTCATCTTGTTTATGGAAACAGTAGTAACCTTAGATGTTTGGTTAGCCAATCACATGCCATGGAACACCTGCAGTATATTTCTGAAGAGATGAAAGGATGCCACTACATGGCAACCAATGACCTCCCCTCCAACACTCACCAATGAGGAACAAGGTGAACACTATGGACACGATGAGGAAGTCGAAGAGCTTCTGTTGACACCAACGACTGGAGTGATCCAGCAGCAACACCACGACCTGTGGGACCATCAGCGCAGCAGTGAGCACCATCACCAGGAAGAAGCTGCAACCATAAAAGGAACAACATGCCAACACCTGCACACAATCCAAGTTTCCTTGATTGGAAGAACTGTTATTTGAATACACAATGCCATTAAGAAAGAGGTCAAATGTAACATATGCTATATTTGGGATTACACTTTTTCAGTAAAGTACAGATTCTAGTTCTTTTGGGGTTGAGTCCATTCTGGGATTCGAACCCACACCCTCAGAGTCAGCCGGCTAATCGCCAGCACACAAAGTCAGCCGCCTAACCCGCTCAGACATTTTATTTATTGCGGTTTCCATGGAAACGTGACTTAGGCTGTGGCTATGAGGATGTCATCTTGTCCAGAGCAGATCTTCCAAACTATACATGCTAGCTTCATCAAACTTGGAACATATGTCAAGCATGATCCCTAGATGTGCCTATTCAGCTTTAGACCCAGATATGAATTTTATTTTTTGCAGTTTCCATGGAAACGTGACTTTGGCTGCGGCTATGAGGATGCCATCTTGTCTGGAGCAGATCTCCTAAACTAAACATGCTAGCCTCATCAAACTTGGTACACATATCTAACATGATCCATAGATGTGCAATTTGATGGTTAGATCCAGATACAAATTTATTTTTTGTGGTTTCCATGGAAACGTGACTTAGATTGTGTATATGAGGATGTCATCTTGTTGCATTTCCATGGCAACAAGTTAGGCTTCAACTGAATTTGGTGGTAGTGCTCCTTTCTGGAGCAGATCTTAAAAACCTTTCAATACTCTCCTTCCACTTTGCTGTATACACTCCAAAACATTTGACATAATCATAACTAGTAGACATATTCATAAAGAGTAATTTGCCATTGCGGGGATATTGATGACTTTGTTTTCTTGTTTCTTATGAATGTACTGTCAAATTCCATTTTACCGCACTTCACCATGCAAGATCCTATCACACTCCAAAAACGTTGGAATTTATGAATGCATGCATACAAAGATTGCATACTATTTTCAGCATACCACAATACACTTTTTAAATATATGTAATGCAATGGTATTTTGGGTAAAACATGACAAGTTTGTGTTATCTCTATGGTTAAGTGGGGTGAGGTGAGGTGAAACTGGGTTTTACGTCGTGCTTGAGAATATTTCGCTAATATGATGACGTGCATGCGTGTGTATGTGCGTCTGCTTGTACTAGCACAGACTTAAGCTGGTTTTATAGTGCTAGCCCACTGTGATACCATGCCGCAGTGAAGCATGAATACCCCACTCAGACACATTATACTGACTCCAAGCCGACCAGTTCTTGTTGTACCCATTAATGCCGAGCGCCAGGCCCCTGTGGCTATGAGGATGTCATCTTGTCCAGAGCAGATCTTCCAAACTATACATGCTAGCTTCATCAAACTTGGAACATATGTCAAGCATGATCCCTAGATGTGCCATATCTAAACGTCTTTTGGTACGACGCGGCCGGGGATCGAACCCGCACCCTTCTGCTCTCCGGGCGGACGTTCTAACCACTACACCAGGGAGGCGGTCTATTGTTAAGTAAGAATCAAATATCCCTTTGAGATAAATTGACAAAACAGCTTACTTCACATACAATACATTGTAAAAACAGAAAGAAATGCTCCCTTCACTATCCAACCTAATCTTGTGTTTGCTTTTATCAAAACCATAACATTATTTTTAGGGCCTTAGTATGTACAAAAAAGGATCTCAGTGTGGAATTACTATCACTGTCAAACACTCCCAAATGGTTATTACAATATGGATGTTTGTATTGAAATACACTTTTACAGTGCAATTCAATATTTTTGCCAATACACAGCCCAAACGTATCTAAACTCACATTTTCGTCCTGTTGTTGCGTGGAAACCATCTGATGAGGTGGTACACACTATGAGCCCACAGGTACTGCCACATGATCAGTCTGCAATGAATATTTGATTACTTGAAAGTATGTCAAATAACATGTGCAATTATGACATTCAGAAATGTGAAATGTTCATGAACAATTCTCTAACACATTTCAGCTGCCTACAATTGCTGCACACTGGGGAAGTCTACTGAACAGCCACAATGACTGCATCCTCGATAATCTCCAGGGCATACGTTCCGATAAAATCTCCACTATACCCTGGATGCATCTACGGCTCCATGATTTTATTACCTCCCTTGGCTGGCTTTTTATCCAATCAGGTGTCTACGCTGGGAAGTTGAGCGTAGCAATCACAACTCACTTTCGCTTCTTTTATCTATAACCGATTAAACTTGGCAACATAATTGTTGCAGAGGTACTCTGAAAGAGGTAGAAAGAGTTCTTGCATATATTTTTTATGGTTTCAGACTTTGTCTGTGTGATTTCCCCCAAAAACCTTTGCAGCTGCGACCGCTATCTTTGTTGACACTGGCAAGCTGTGTTCTAATGGTTTGATTGAATGGGCAAGGCAAAATAACATCATATTATCTCTTCCTACACACAGAAGTGTACCCTAGACAAAGTCAAAATACATAAACGTACGCATTACTCTAAACGAGAGACGGGTCCATATTCCTCAAACCCAAACCGAAACCAATTCATGTTATAGTTCCTGTTTGCCTGATTATGAGAGATACTAGCTGTGCACGGCGAAATCATCATCACTGGGTACGCTTGTTTCTTATATAACACAGTGGAACGCATGTCATACAAATAGTATGAGTCTATGAGAGTATAAAAATCCGATCAAGAAAACTGTGCAGAATGGACTCATCTTAGGGTACATTTATGTATTCTGATTTTTGTTACCTCTAGGATGCGTTCCTGTATACATATCAGTAGTACCTGAGCGAACAATGACCCCTTCAGCGATGTTAGATGTTACGTTCCCTTTCATAATGGAATAGAGGCTGTCATTCACTCTTAAAGGCAGCCATTAGTAAACTTAACATCTGTGTTTCAACTTTCATTCCATTATTATATATTGTATCTTCCTTAGGGATGGTTCATAATTTATGGCTAGGGGGTGATGATGACTTTAGGGGTGGGTGGGTGTTTCCACCCATTTTGTTCTGGCGAGCTAGGGGGTCATCAATTTTGTACACACGTACTGGGGGGTCATCAAGTTTGTTCAGACAAATACGTTTAAAATTATGCTTAGAAACTATGGGTAGGGGATGGGGGTCATTGATTTTGTACATGACATGCAGGGGGTCACTTACTTTGTACATATACAAAATGTTAGGGGGGTCAGTCACATTGTACATGTTTCTCCATAAAAATCATCATCATCCCCCACCACCCCCAGCCATAAATCATAAAATATGAACGGTCGCTTAGACAATCTGCATCCTACCGTTTCTTTAACTGATTTGTTGATGACTGCCTTAAATTGTCGTCTGAGCGCTTCCATATACACTACAGATACAGAACAAGACTAACTCAAAACCAGCCCTTCTTGGAACTCAACCAAATTCCGATCTGATTTCCGATCTAATGTCAACTGTCAGTGTCACGCACAACACAAAAATCAAGTGGTGTATGCGGTCAAAAACGGCGGTACAGTTTCAGTTGTGAAAATTCTTGTGCTTACATCGAAACTATTACCAGTTGGTTTCCGAACAGAATCATAAGTTTACACTTGTTAGAATATAACTTACTTTTACACAGGTGTCACCTGTTACCTGTTTGTTTACATGCAATATGGCGACAATCACTAGAGACATCAAGCATAAAAAGGGAGGTCACTCTAAATCCTATAAAGTCAATATATCATAGAAGCGTTCATAATATCATCAATGTGAAGTTCGTTTTTCATCTGCTGTCACAGAAATACATTATTCCGGCGCTTTTTGCAATAAATCACGTGCAGTAACTCCCCAGACAAAAAAACAACAACAAACAAAAAAAAATAAAAAAAACAAAGCTTGTCCTTTTAACTTGTATGATAATGTTGAGAAAATGAATTCGAGTTCGTTTGTTTGGGGTTGTTTTTATGTTTCTGTTTTTGTCTTAGTGTAAGAAGGGAATTCAGTTATGATGTACTTGGGTCACGTGCTATTTTAGATCTTCCAGACATTGAGAATCGCTCAACGGTTACATTGCACCAGACCCGACAGCATTTATTATATAACGTTTGATTTCGTGTCACTTATGTATTTATTTATTTATTTCCCGGAACCAGTAGGCTATTCGAGCGACAACCCATACTGCCGAGATACGGCGACCAACCGACCTCAAGACAAGCAGTAGAGTGCAAGGGAACTATTCCATCACGGGTTGGTACGGAGTGTAAGAGACTGTTTGGATTATATAAGCCGCTTCGATTATATATCGCGATGTGTGGGCTAAACATGAAAGGAAGTCCGACCTGATGTAAAAAGAAAATCTTTAGTATTTGATTGAAACAGAGACCATAATCTATTACATGGTCTCTGATTGAAGCCAATGGGTACGCAGCTCTGCAAAGTGAAGCGGTTCACTGCAGATTAAAGCTGACGGTTCAACAATTAGTCTGTCAAACCACCTCCATGTTTAATGGCGAATTCAGAGTGTATACCTTTGTACAAATATTGTGTTCACGTGACAATTGCATTGTAGATGCCATATACACGTCGTGGTAGACAACTAAAGAAGTGGTTATCCATAACATATGTCTTGTATTAGTACACAAACTTCTAAATGCCTTTGAAGAATTTCATATGTACACGTTAGTTTTTCTGTTATTTCCAGCGTCTAAAATACATAGTTGATACCGTTTCTTCGGACCATGGAATCTCATTGACGCTTTGACGAGGTGGCGTTTTATCTTGATCCAGAATATGGTACAGCGATAGCGATAAATGTACAAGCAGACTAAAATGCACGCACGCACGCACGCACGCACGCACGCACACACGTTGAAGTTAATAGGAAAATTTGAAATTAGACACGCGAGCGACGTGCAAGTATGGAGGTGGCACTGCGCTTTATTAAAAGTTTAAACGCAAAAAACTGCAATATAAAAATTACACGTACAAATATGGCTTGTATATATTCAAACTCGTTTCGGAATTTCTTTATAGTGCCTGCTTTTTCCAGGTAAGCTGTGTATTGGACTCAAACTATGCACAATAAATCACCTTACTTCTTTGGCCAACAATAGTCCAGCAACATCACGGCGGGGGACACCAGAAATGGGCTTCACACATTGTACCCATGTGTGGAGTCGAACCCGGGTCTTCGGCGTGACGAGCGAACGCTTTAACCACTAGGTTACCCCACCGACCTTCTTAAATCTTTTAAAAATTATTTTTTCAAGGATGAATGAGCCAGAGTGTGAGAGTATCAGTTTCCGGGGACAATTGATCACCGCCGATCACATCAATATATGTATCACTCACTTACCCGTCAAGCAGCAGGGAAATATACACGATATCAACATACCGCTGACAAATGTTCTACCATAAAAACAGCCGCTTAGCTTTCATGGATGAAGATCGATGATCTGAACGGTAGTAACTACACCATGAGGATAGCCGACAACACCGTCACAGCTGGCCAGGTTTCCTGTACATTGTATCAATACACTCCGTCATACCAGTGAATGTTGTACAGTACATTCACATAAAATACATGTAGGTATGCGATCGAAACTCATGATGGCAGATCTGTTGAATCTGTATCTATATTTCGTAAAATATTTAAACTCTTGGCTATCAATAATTTGACAAATAATAAATATATTGTACAGTCTCTGTATTTATTGAACAATCTCTGTTAAACAACATTCATAGGCGGATCCAGAAATTTTCAGGGGAGGGCTCGAACCCCCTGAACCCCACCTTGGCTCTGCCATTGCAAAACATTAACTTCAATGTGGTCTTTAGTCATTTTCGGGGGTGGGGGTGGGGGGGTTCGAACCCCCCTCCCTCTGGATCCGCCACTGTACGTTAGTGTTCAATATCATTCGAGGTCGAGATGGCAAGGGAAGTAATTCTTGAACCCGACGTTCAGTGAAATTAACAAAATAGCCACTTTGTCTTCATATTTCTGAAAGATAATCCTCGCGATATGTTTACAAGAAACCACGTGACAACACCTTTGTTCCCCAGCTGATTCGGTGGACAAAACATCCGCCACACGTCTCGCAGGCTCCCTAGTCTGTGGTGTGTATACCAGGACTGAACAGTAGGCAACAGCTTCCCGACATTGATCTTACTCCGGCATGGATCCCTGGCTGGTCAGCTTCATGTTTACCCGAGGGGGTCATTCCAGGTAAGCAGAATAGAGGTAGTAGACACGTGGTTAAACTAGCACTGGTTTACATCGTCTGTAGAAGTCTGATGGAGTTTTACATTTGATGAATGTGAGGTGTAAACTGGCTGGAGAAGTGAACCAGCCACAAATGTGAAATCTGGATGTTCGATCATGTATTTGTTAGTTTGTTCATTGTGTATCAACAATGGCGGAAAGCCGACTGATACCTACATGAGCAAGCACCGGGAGCTCTCTTATTTAATACTTGGTTGTTGTTTAACGCCGTACCCAACAGTATTCCAGCTATATTGCGGTCGTATATTTAATAATATAGCCTAGTTGTATATATCACCTATTAGGACGGAAGTTTCATCCAAATGTACGGCCTCGGCATAACTACAGACAACCACAGCCAAGGACTGAGTGGACCGTTTTCAAATTAAAAGTTACGCTAAATCCCGTGAGGGCGACTCAACACTAAAACATCATAAAATCACCTAGATTTGAGGAGACCCGTGTGTGATATAAGCATGGCGGCCTCTTACGCCAGCGACAGTGTGATACTGTCCAGATATCCACGAGTGTCACCCCCGTGGCATTCAACAAATCGAATTCTTCATTTCATTGAAAACTCACATGATTATCATTGTTTTTCAGTTTCCCTAAATCTACAGCTTCTTCTCATATATAATCCAAACACCACTACCCTTCGATGTTCCCCCTCAGAATGAGACGCGGACGAAGGTTACAGCGTCTCACCCAGCTCGTCATTTTCCTGGGCTTCATCTCCTCCATGTCTGTTGTCTACGTTGCCATGACAACAAGTAAGAACCAACTTTGAGCTTATACAAACGCAGAAAGAGTCTCCAAGGGGAAAGGGTGGTGTTGCATGTTGTTAGCAAAAGGTAATGACAAGTAATGAAGTAGTCTGCATTTGTTGGAGTGTGTCGATGGTGTAGGAGTTAGATACAGTTTTGTTATATTTGCACACTTTAGCCTGGCACCCTTAAAACACCCAAATGCACAAACTTTCGGTAGAAAGCTGGGACAACATGCAGCCCAGTATTGTAATTACCACATATAGGATGTATGTGTAAAACCCGTGCCAACATGCAGCCCAGTATTGTAATTACCACATATAGGATGTATGTGTAAAACCCGTGCCAACATGCAGCCCAGTATTGTAATTACCACATATAGGATGTATGTGTAAAACCCGTGCCAACATTCAGCCCAGTATTGTAATTACCACATATAGGATGTATGTGTAAAACCCGTGCCAACATGCAGCCCAGTATTGTAATTACCACATATAGGATGTATGTGTAAAACCCGTGCCAACATTCAGCCCAGTATTGTAATTACCACATATAGGATGTATGTGTAAAACCCGTGCCAACATGCAGCCCAGTATTGTAATTACCACATATAGGATGTATGTGTAAAACCCGTGCCAACATTCAGCCCAGTATTGTAATTACCACATATAGGATGTATGTGTAAAACCCGATGCCAACATGCAGCCCAGTATTGTAATTACCACATATAGGATGTATGTGTAAAACCCGTGCCAACATTCAGCCCAGTATTGTAATTACCACATATAGGATGTATGTAAAACCCGTGCCAACATGCAGCCCAGTATTGTAATTACCACATATAGGATGTATGTGTAAAACCCGTGCCAACATGCAGCCCAGTATTGTAATTACCACATATAGGATGTACATGTATAGGATGTATGTGTACAACCCGTGCCAACATGCAGCCCAGTATTGTAATTACCACATATAGGATGTACATGTATAGGATGTGTGTGTAAAACCCGTGCCAACATGCAGCCCAGTATTGTAATTACCGCATATAGGATGTATGTGTAAAACCCGTGCCACTACTAAAATGGTATAAGTCTAGTTTTGTAATTAAACAGCGCTTGGCATGGGTGACTGAGGTCGACTACTTTTACACCTAATAACTGGCCCTACCCATTCTTACTAAGGAAATAATTCATGCAAACTTAAGCAGTATTCTGACAGATAAAACGAATCAACGATAAGACGAAAACACCTCACAACATATGACACGTAACACACTGGTGGAAACTTTAAACAAACTGAACATACATCCTGCAGACGACATCTTTGGCCGTGAACGTGATGACGTCATTACTACCCCGACTCTTTGCTTACAACGCTGGAATTGTTTCAATGAACTATGCACTAAAGTTATTTAATAAGGCTGTGAACATACCCACCCTCCTAAAACGAAATAAGAACCTCAAAGAAAATAGGTTTTGTCTATCCGCGTAAAACCCATGATCTATAAAGGGAGGGCTTGAATGAGTGAATGTCTGGGAACGACCGGAAAATTGTGTCAAGCTCCCCATAGTCATTCCGTTAGCGGACACTGGTTGACCGGGATCATTAGCAAGCTCGGTTCGTATTTGAACCAACTAATCACCATTCCAATATTTCCGTCACCCGGATTGACATGAGTTGATGTTTTAGACAGTAATCGTAATTCTATTTGGTTTTCCTCTTCAGACAACAAGGCCAGGTGGGTCCATGGTGGTCACAAGGACAGCCGTCAGTTACTGGAGGTACGTGTAATCCTAATTACACAATAAGCGCTGTGAGGGATGTGTCCCATTATCGTGTAAAAACATGCGACAAAACCATTTCCATAATCGTCAGTAATATCTTCATGTGGTTTTAATTCTGAAGTCCATCCGTGATACGATACACATGTGTGGTGGTGTCATGGAAAATTAAAGTTATATGAAGTATATTAAATACGCTATTTGTAGCCTAAGGCGTATCCAGGCCAACAAACCAGTCCTTGTCTATTTTGATGTTTTAAGTGAAAGCATAACTTTAAGGAAACTGAATACTCGGTCCCTTTTGACATTAATGTTAATGGCAAAATTAGGATAAAACATGCCAAATATGCGGACCCTGTTCACATTTGCATCCCAAGAACCACGCTGTCCGACTCAACATCGTTCTTGGTGTCTGTTTACTGGTGAGTATCGTGTATACTGCCAGGATCACATCCCTGGTGACTCTCAAGGTAACGCAGAAGGCTGCAGTATTGGGACATCTTTACATTTTCTGAAACAAACCTGGGCGGGCTCACCTAGGCAGAGCTCCCTGGGAGTCCCCGTCGCTGTCTGTGCTGCGTGTAGAGAGGGCAAGGGCCCTCAGCTGATGAGTCGTACCAGCCTGACCGTGGCAGAATTACCCAACTCGCTTTGCTGCATTCATATATTTTACTTGTGATTAATATCACAGAGGCAAATGATAAAATAGTCATTTCTGGCGCGTCGTGATAGTGGCCAATTAGGTGAGTGAGCTTAGATTTACGCCGCTCTAAGCAAATCCCAGCAATATCACGGCGGGGAACACCAGGCTTCACACTTTCCCCATGTGGGGAATCGAACCCGGGTCTTCAGGGTGACGAGCGAACGCTTTAACCACTAGGCTACCCCACCGCCTAAGTGCTTATTCTGGCTCATATATATGCTTATACAAAGGCTAGAGGCACATCATGACGTAACTGATAGTGCAGTTTACATTTAAGTGTCTGAAAAAAGATGACTATGCAAGGCCTTTAATGCAAATAACTGTCACTGGGTGCATGGGTCTATTGTCAGGTATTTGCGTTACATGCCCCTGTGTATGTAACCATCTGATATTTGCAGGATCATGGAACATCACGCTACAGAACTGACAGGTTGGAACCTGAAAACATGGCTGCTTTAGAAAGACGGTTTGATCTCAGGAGGAAGATATATGACACAACATGCTCAAAGACAGGGACCCTCAATCATGGCGTTGTCATGCCAACACACGACAGAAAGGACGGACGGAAGACCTACATTCAACATAATGTAACCATGTGTTTTGTTGAAAAGGCTGGGTCCATGTTTTGGTCGCGGTATTTCAATGCATTTGAACAGTCAATAGTCGGGAACCACCGAACTAGCGTCGAAACACACCAACTGTCGCAAAAAGAATATGACAAAACGGTGAAAATTGTGTTTGTCAGAAACCCATACTCAAGACTTCTTTCTGGATACGTTGACAAGATCTTCTCGACCAATCCTGATTATATGCGCATCATGGGTAGACATATCATACAGGACATCCGGTTCAAAGGTCAGAAGCGTGCGAATATTCAGTGCGGGGTAGATGCAACGTTCGCTGAATTTGTGGATTATATTTTATATCAACATGAACATAATCAGAGCATCAACAATCATTTCAGACCTGCTCACCATAGATGTGCTTTTTGTCACATGAAGTATGACTATATTGGGAAAATGGAAACGTTTCTTGAGGATATGATGTTCGTGAGCAGACGGATCGGAGCGCTGAAACACAACCGAACAAGAGACCTCATTCAGAAAGAGGGTTTCCATGGTATCGAGGAAATGATGTACAGAAACTCTCACAATATTTTCACAAGTAGACTCGAGCGTATCCTGGCGTGTGGGGTCACTTTACGACAAGCCCTCAAGCTGACTTGGAGAAGATGGCAGATCAGGGGGTTCCTTGGGACTCAGTTTGACTTTCCGTTTCGTGACGCCGACAGTGACATAAACTGGGAACGGTTCTTGGAATATGCCGTCAGGGCACGTCGCGCATCAGATCCCAAGACGTTGTCGAAGGCCAAGAGAGCGGCGTTACGAGAAGCCTACAGCACGTTAACACTTCAAACGAAACTGAAACTAAAAAGAATGTTTGAGCCTCAATTTGAAATGTTTGGATACGAAGCTATGCCTGAAAGTATATTTGGAAGTTTTGACCAGTCAGAAACGGATTTTAGATTCTTTGATGTGAGGGATATTTTCGATATACAGTTATAAATCCGGATGTTCGTACAGAACATACACGCCTGCTCAAGAAGGCAATGGGTGTTTGTTTACAGGAATGTCAGGTGTACATGGACATGGAAGTATGCCAGTAGGAGTTACTATTGAGGAGGAAACAACTATTGCGGTAGCAATAGTCTAGATAGCAATAGTCAACTATTGCAGTACTATTGCAATAATTCTTTTCTCCCTGAATTGTCTCATTTGAAGTCATCTCTCAAGTAAATGTATTACTTTACATGAATAGTTCTTTTAATAACTGACAAGAAACTTGAAACCCAGATCAAGTAAACAGTTAAAACATAAACTCAGTGAAGCTGCAAGTCTGCACTCTAAATCAAAGTGAACGAATCTGGCACTTCCTGTATTTTGTGCTGAGCATTTATTAACGGAAGTCAATTACTAAACTATGCATCGATAGTTTTTCCTTTCTACCATCGATTAATTGCTATCGGAGACTCAACAATTGCAATCCATCGATAGTTCGATGCAACGTTACAGCCCTATTTGTCAGTGTGTTGGGGACAGTATGTATGGCTATAACAATGTGACCTGTGAACTGGGCAAGGCTGAGAAGATGTGTCGTTATGCGTATGTCAAGGTGCAAACCTGTGAAGGTATGTGAAAGTGCGTATGTCAAGGTGTACAGAAGCGACAAAACCCTTTCCACAGTCGTAAGAGGGGAAATCTCTGCTAAAAGCAGAGTCGATTGTACAACTGTGATTATATCATGAGCAGATATTTGTTTCAGCAGTGTTACAGCTGTATGATGTTGTTTGTAAACAAATCGAATGACAAAGATCTGTTCTCCCGCGTGAGCGCTCACCTGATAGTGAACTACCTGAGGGAAGTTGATCTGTATCTTAAATTGTAACTGTGTAATGTCACTAACAAATTGCCTGCCTTTACATTTAGTGCTATGCATTTTTCTGTCTTTAAATGACAATGTAATGAATATATGTTTTTGAAATAAAACTCATTTTGACTCTGTACTTACAATGTATATTAATGCAGACTTGTTCTCGTCACTATATGGCTGGAATAATGCCGATGTGACGTAAAGCCCAACTCAACTCAAATCAACTCAACTCGACAGAGCAAGTGTTTATGAATCAATATAAAATAGTGATGATACCAGGTGTTCGCGAAAAGGTGAGCGTATCCTGCCCCACCGGTGGCACCCGTCATAAAACATAAGCAAAGTCTAAACTGAAGTTCAAAAGAAAGTACACACCCGATTATTTGGTAAAATATTTTCTTGAAAACAGCATTAATATTTAAAAAGTCTTTTGATTCTGTCTTGTCGCAAACAGTGTGCAAGTGTTTCCAAAACACCACAGATATTGTACCCAATTACAACATTGCAAGCAAAATATTTATGGTTTTAATGGGAATAGTCCCAAAACACAAGGTGTGACCTTTCTTGTGTACGTCAGTATAGTTAATTGTTCACCTGAAATATGCATGTAAAGTGCGTATGTAAAGGTGTAAAGATGTGAACGCATGTCACTATGTGTTGAGCAGTTAGATAGAGACGTATTTTGTTGTTTGGATGTCTTCATCATAATAATATGGTGAAGTAATCATCGTGAAGAAATAAAGAGTAATCCCTTTTCCGTGTGATGTCCCATTGGTGATGACACTTCAATACTGCATGTTACTCACTATATCATCTGTATGTAACCTTACATGAGTATGAAATTTGGCGTTTTAGCCATCACCACGGAAACCGCCAACAGGGCTGCGGGAAGAGCGACTGAGCATGTACTCCGGTATCGCAGATGCTTCAGGACCGCCTCCGTGGTGTAGTGGTTAGAGCGTCCGCCCCGGAGAGCAGAAGGTCGCGGGTTCGATTCCCGGCCGCGTCATACCAAAAGACGTTAAAATATGGTACTTGTTGGTCCCTGTCTGGCGCTCGGCATTAATGGGTACAACAAGGACTGGTCGGCTCGGAGTCAGTATAATGTGTATGAGTGGGTTATTCATGCTTCACTACGGCATGGCATCTCAGTGGGCTAGCACTATAAAACCAGCTATAATACAAGCAGCCGCACATACACATACACACGCATGCACGTCGTCATATGAGCGAAATATTCTCAAGCACGACGTTAAACCCAATTTCACCTCACCTCACCACAGATACTTCAGTAGAGCTGATAGATTTCTTTGGGGTACAATATATATTCACTTCCTCTAGCAGCGTCTGTGGGTATCTATAAACCAATGACTGAACCGTCCTAAACACCATCCTCGATCAGATGACATCTGATTTATGCATCTTATACAGTAATACAGGTTCAGTTACAACACGCGAAATGTCACGTGCTCATTATTCACCGGAGTAGACTTTCAGATGATGCCGGCTTTCGGTCAGTGACACGCATATTAAACAAGGCTGAAAACGAACAGCTTTGTTGTTGTTGTTTTCAGGCATATCTGAACGCATCAAATAAAATGAATTGTGGTTTGATGATTTTTTGTGCATATTTTACTCAAATACACAGCTTGGCTTGAGCTGGAGGGCCCCAACGAGCTATAAAGAATTCCAAACGATTTGGGGCGGTGGGGTAGCCTAGTGGTTAAAGCGTTGGCTCGTCACGCCGGACACCCGGGTTCGAATCCCACATGGGTACAATGTGTGAAGCCCATTTCTGGTGTCCCCCGCCGTGATATTGCTGGAATATTGCTAAAAGCGGCGTAAAACCAAACTCAGTCAGTCAGTCAGTCCAAACGATTTACACATGGTGACAGTGTCGAACCTTTTCACACGTATCTGTTAGCTTTATTTTTAGCATTGTATTGCTATTTTCCTTTTGTCTACATTCATTTCAAGACACACAGCTACAAGACTATATTTGCACTTCTTCCCCTCGCCTACATGTTCAATATACCTTGTAACTGTAATATGTGAGAGTGTTTGATGTTTATCACGGCAATCCGACAGACAGACAGAAAATAGTTAATTAACGTCTCACTTCTGTACAAGGTTAAAATATAGATACATTTGTACATGCAAGTCATTTATAAAAATGTACAGAACCATTCAAAACAGAATTATGAGAGACATAAAAAGTTTTTAAAGATATAATAATTCTTTTCTACGTTTTAGAATAAGAAAGCAGATTTTGGCTGTATTATAACATATAAAAGGATCGCTAAAAGCAAAACACACTTTATCAATATCAGATTTATCTAAAACATCTGGACATAAAGTAGTGCACTGGTTAAAAAGGGTCTCTCTCAGATCATCATAAATACGACATGTTCCGCCTATAAAACAGTCTGTATATAATGGAGTTGGTACAGGCAATACGGTAATTGACGTGACGATCCTCATGATCTTAAAAACTCTCTCGATGCATTTTACTGTTACTGTAATGAATGGAAGTTATCTGACAATCTATCCAAAACTAAAGCTGTTTTTGGTAGTGGTCCTGCCAAGTCATCTAAACTGAAACTTTACTATGGTGTTGAGCCTCTTGAGGTGGTAGACTCTTATTGTTACCTAGCTATTTCCCTTTATCATAATAGAAGATATATTCATGCAATTAAAGCACTTGTAAATGCGGGTACAAAGGCAATGTTTTGTCTTCTGAAAAAATCACATATTATAAACTTACCACTTGACTGCATTCTTACAGCTTTCTATGTAATGATAGAACCAATTATATTATGTGGATGTAAAGTTTGGGGGTTCGAAAACATCAACTTAATTGAAAGAATACATATATAATTGGTGAAACTTGCTGCAGGTCTTCGAAATTCAACTCCAGATTATATGATATACGGAGAATTTGGTCGATAACCGATGTATATTAAATTAAACAAAAGACATGTTTTTGGCACAAAATGGTAACAAACACCCGCCAAGCTAAACTAGCATATAATATATATTCTATCATGCTGCAAGTTAGTTCTGAAATCAATGTATTTCCCTGGATTGGATTTGTAAGAAAGACACTCAATGACTGTGGTTTAACTGACATATTTTATAATCCATTTCTCTGTACAAGTAATTTTTCTCTCTTTTAAGATCGAACAGATCCTCAAAGACCAATTTTTACAGAAATGGCATACCGCCATGATACAGAGCTTCAAATCTTCTTTTTATCGTATCTTAAACCAATATAGAAGTTGAGAGATATCTCTGTCTGCCAAAACATATCTGTTTCCCGATTTTAAGATTCAGAACAAGTAATCACCACCTCCCTATAGAAGCTGGCCGTTGGGCAAATGTTCCTAGAGAATATCCTCTGTGTCATTTATGTAACTCTCATGCAGTAGGAGATGAACTCCATTATGCTTTATTACTGAAAAGATAAACATATTTACCTTCTTACCTGAATCCAATAACCTTGTGGAAAGTCGTCAAACTGTTCTCGTCTAAACAAACGCGCAATCTTAAAAATCTTGCTATGTACATTAATGTAATATTTAAGTCTACAAAGATACATTTACCTTTGGTTCTTTTTCGCTTTTATCTGCCATCTTGACATGTATATATTTATATGACTATAGTAATATTGTATTCTCATGTACCACCGTTGGTGGTGTTTTGAGTAATAAATAATTATTGAAATTGAACTTGACATTGTAAACAATGCATCCACAATGTCACACAACCAATCCAGTCACCGAGCCTGGCCACCTGATCATTGCCTCTCAACACACTGGGCCTCTAACCCGCTCCAACGTTAACTCTGCAGTAAGTTCTATACACAATATGTTGCCCAGAATCGACTTTCCGTTATTGGACGGATTTAGATATATCACATTGCCATTGTACGCATGTCGATATTCAATGTAAAGTTCTCTGAACATAGCGTTTGTGCGGGTATAAGTATTAATTATCTCTATGCTTCATCTTGTAGCAGTTCATCAACGCCATCCTGTAGGGTGATGAAAATAACCTGCCGTGTCATGGCGCTAAAACAAACGCTCATCCTCTATAACATAGGGTGTGTGGGTTTAGTTTTACGCAGCTTTTAGCAATATTCCTGCAATATCACATTGTGCCCATGTGGGGAATCGAACCCGGGTTTTCGGCGTGACGAGCGAACGCCTTAGCCACTAGGCTACTAATAAGTTACTATAGTACTGTCGGAAATATTTTCTCATTTATCTCTACAATTTATGTAGTTGATATGTGAAAGTGTGAAATATCTGTTAAACTAAGTTCGGCCTAACTACAGTCTCAGTGGTAGAGAGATAGGAAACGGAGAAAAAGGACTTTACTGAGGAGAAATTAGTGCAGAAATGAGCAATGCGGATTTTTTCTAAGTCCAAAAAGACTTATTTGGAACAGACCATGGCTTTATGCAAATTAGTGTGCGACGATATTGTATTACAAAGGACACTTTTTAAATGCCCAATTTGAAATTAGACGTAGATTCATTATAAACGATAGCTGACGTAAAAAATAATAACTTTTATGCCGAAACTTTTAAGGATGTAGCTACCATGCAGTCTCACTGTCACTATAAAAAGAAACAGATTGGAGGGGTCGCCTCAAAAGCAAAACCTGGGGTCGGGCGTGGGGATAGAGATATCAGCTAAGATAAGATAATCCTTTAGGGCAATTATACTGGGGAGGTACACGGCACGTCATAACAATTTACAAATAATATCCAGTCCTGTCGATCTTCGCTTGGTCATGCCACCTATATACTACGATGCGTTTCTATGGTTTTCGGGTATCATACTCTCTTACATATCTCTACATAAACCTTATGAAAGAAAGACACGTAAGATGTTATTCAGTAGATGAGACATAGTCAACACACATGAAAAAGCACAAAATATCTTTGAGATGACCCCTTGTGCCTGTAGGCAGCACGTGCATTTCATGCCAGGTGAGTCGACGGTACGTCGTCATACCTGGCTGAGCGACCTAATTGCCATCTATAGTCTGATCTATTGTTTTCAGCAGCTATTCGTATTTTTTCTAAGTTTTGCCCGATTTTACGAGTAAACATGCTTTTCTGGATATCGTATTACGCATTTCGACATATGCTATTTGCAATTGTGTAAATTTTAGGGATACAGAGTGACAGCCTAAAAACAGTTTCTTTCTTTTTCCGACAGTACTATAGAACGCAACTCTGCATATTGAATTATTGTTGTGTATTTTCCCCTCTCCCCGAGTGAATTCGTGTTAATGCGGTTTTGAACTGCCATTCATTTTCATCAACATGAGTCAGACTTAATGGGAATAGATTCACGATCAGCGACGTCACCGGCGAGATGAACCGTCGGGTCAAGTGAAAGCCACGGGTAATAATCAATGGCTTGAACATCCAGGATGGGTCAAGGCTTGTTCCCAGTTATCTGCCTACAACTGCAGCCATCTTTGCACCTTTCATCAAACATTGGAGAAGCCTTGACTACTGCCATCATGTTTCAGTCGCTGTGTAGGTCATGACCACACACGTGGAATACCGAACTATCGGGAACTTGTCCCATATAGCCAACAGTATCGGAATCAGTCATTTCCACGTGGTGGTGCCGTGAAGGCTGTTATTGATAGATACCGTTACTGCGTTCAACGATTGCTATGACTTTGTGAAGAGAACAGATTGGTGATCCATCATTATGCAGTAAGTATGATCATAATTACCAATTCAAAGAAGTTTAAATTGACAGGCCTGTCGAGCCACTTTGAAGACATGGAACCTCCGACCAACGTCACGTGATTAGGAAGCACCTGTTGGACTGTTCAAAGGTCTTGTGGACATGGCCTTAGCGTCAACTGCAGCCAGCCTGCACATTTTCCTCCTGCCCCAGTATCCGAACCCACTATTAGAGTACCGGATCTTGGTCCATCTAAGGGAAACAACTCAACAAAGCAAATTAGAAGAGAAGCAACAAAATGTATTTTCAATTGACGATCTCAAGTCATTCCATGTTAACAAAAACAATAGCAAGATCTGGAAACACATTTGCAATGCAATCGTATACACACAGAGGTTATACACAATGGCCATTTAGCCAATATATGAAAGACTGCAATATATGGCAGTAAAATACCACATCCTATAATCAGATATACAGTTTGCTTGCAAGCATGCTCTAATGTCAAAACCGCCTCACAAACCACCAGGCAGCCAGCTGTGTAGCCCATCAATATATTGCAAATGTGGCTCTGGGCCTATTTAGATTTCATGTGACAACCAGATAGTTATTATTTGGACGCGGATACAGGGGTATTGATGTCAGCTGAGTGAATAGCAGTCAAAACCCGTCATAATTCAAGTGTTTGTGGAATATTACAAGAAGATGATCTTAAACGGTGATGTATTTAGTCCACACAACGCCTCACGAACGCTTAAGTGTGCACGTGGCTATCGACATGGGTATTGACCAAAGTATCTGTATTGTCACCGCCATCTTGGAGCAGGCACCTTCGCGTCCGTCATGTCGGTTGTGGGTAAGAAATAGTTTTACCTCTTCATAACTTCCTATGCAGATATTTTGCAAATATCGGTACTTAATAACCTTAACGACATATTTTAACTCAATACATACAGTTGTTGCATGAACATGTACAATATGTATAAGTCCGAGTTCGAGTTCTGGTGTACATTTCACCGTGTTGCGTAGTGACACTATATACCCGTATATTCACTTGTGAATGAGGCAGTGAGGGAATGTAGGTGAGGTGAGGTGAGGTGAATTTGGGTTTAACGTCGTGCTTGGGAATATTTCGCTCATATGACGACGTGCATGCGTGTGTATGTGTATGTGCGGCTGCTTGTACTAGCCCAGACTGAAGCTGGTTTTATAGTGCTAGCTCACTGAGATACCATGCCGCAGAGAAGCATGAATACCCCACTCAGACACATTATACTGACTCCGAGCCGACCAGTCCTTCTTGTACCCATTAATGCCGAGCGCCAGACAGGGCCAACAAGTACCATATTTTAACGTCTTTTGGTATGACGCGGTCGGGGATCGAACCCGCGACCTTCCGCTCTCCGGGCGGACGCTCTAACCACTACACCACGGAGGCGGCCAGGGAATGTAGAGGTTCAATGGGATACAATGTGGTGAACTCACTATCGACTCTCACAATGAGCATGGGATACGGGGTGCCAATTATTCCTATATCTATGGAATACTGTAAGGATCATTTTCTCATTTTGGTCAAAATCTCTCGTTCATGCGATTTCGCATTCTTGGACATTTTGCATCTTTAGCCTGTTTCCAAAGAACGTGTCTCAGAATACTCCATATTGGGTACCGGTTCCCTTTTTGTTGTGTGGGGCGGTCAGGTAGCCTAGTGGTTAAAGTGTCCGCTCATCACACAGAAAAACTGGGTTCAATTCCCACATGGTAACAATCTGTGAAGCCCATTTCTGGTGTCCTTGAGCCGTGATATTGCTAGAATATTGCTAAAAGTGGTGTAACAGTGACTCACTCCCTGTGTTTGTAATGCTAGTCAGATGGCTGGGCAACCGGCTGAGGTCCTGCAGACGGCTGAGACGGGCTGTCGTCCTGGGCGTGACAGTAACCATCTTCATCCTCGTCCTGTATCCCCAGGAGAATACAGGTGAGTCAGACACTACGAAATATACCATACTTGACATTTCCTGACCAGTCTTTTATCATTAACATGCGATGCGAACATATAAAAGAAAAAAACACCCGTTATGTTTTCAAAGGACGTTCTGTCCAAGTTCTCCTTCGAGAATTATTTTGTCTTTATACGAGTCCAATTAATGACCAGGGTACCGTTCTACAAAACAACCTTAGCGCTAAGACAGTCGTAAGTCTGTGTTAAGGTATGGGAGTTACGATCACCCTAGCAATACGACAGTCGTAAGTCTATGTTAAGGTATGGGAGTTACGTTAGCCTTAGCGCTACGACAGTCGTAAGTCTATGTTAAGGTATGGGAGTTACGATCACCTTAGCGCTACGACAGTCGTAAGTCTGATAAGGTATGGGAGTTACGATCACCTTTGCGCTACGCCATTCGTAAGTCTGTGTTAAGGTATGGGAGTTACGATAGCCTTAGCGCTACGACATTCGTAAGTCTGTGTTAAGGTATGGGAGTTACGATCACCTTAGTGCTACGCCAGTCGTAAGTCTATATTAAGGTATGGGAGTTACGATAACCTTAGCGCTACGCCAATCGTAAGTCTATGTTAAGGTATGGGAGTTACGATCACCTTAGCGCTACGCCAGTCGTAAGTCTGTGTTAAGGTATGGGAATTACGATCACCTTAGCGCTACAACAGTCGTACGTGTATGTTAAGGTATGGGACTTACGTTCACCTCAGCGCTGCGCCAGTCGTAAGTCTATGTTAAGGTGTGGGAGTTACGATCACCTTAGCCCTAAGCTCGCTTTGTACAAGGGTACCCTGATCGAGTGTTACACCATAAGTATCTTTATCTTTAGAAATGCCTGGAAGATTTGTATGTTCTTTGACTCTGCGCTCAGCACTATTCCTGATGTCATGCGGATTACAAACTAATCCAGTCTAATGATTGATATCACGAGCATCCCATTACAAATTGATGGGATACATATTTTTACTACAAGTCAGCGAACCTGATCATTCAATCTTTGAGATAATGAGATAGTTTTTATTCGAACTATATTCTAATCGGGTCATATGCCTGTTCCGGAACCCAGAAACGGGGAATCCAGTCGTCGACACTGATATTTCCAACTAAGCCTCATACCATCACCTCTGAAACCTGAAATCTACGATACAAATAGGACAACACAGTCTCAAACGATAGAAAAGCCTTCAGATAACACCTTTAGGGATTCTAGGATCGTGGGTTCGAATCCACGGCTTGCCTGAGTTTGATCGTTGATTTATTAGCATCATGCAGGTGACGTAAACAACAAACAAACAGACATAATTGTAAACCGACGTATAAAAGAAAGTACACACCCGGTGCTTTTGGAGTACTTTCCAAAAAGCGACGTAAATGTTTTGAAAAGAGTTTTTACAGTGATATATAAGTCACAGACTTTCCTAATATGTTGCCAAAACACCACAGACATCGTGCCCAATTGCGAAGTTGCCAGTCAAAATCACAACACTTTTCAAATAATCCCAAAACACCAGGTGTGTACTTTCTTTTGTACGCCAGTTTATTTCCAATGTGTGTTTTCAGATTCATCTCATGCAAGAGGTATGAGGCCTTTGAAACGGGTAAGTTTACCTTTCATATATACTCGGCAAACGACATGCATGCTTTCCCCGTCAGTATATAATAATGCGGGCATAACAGTAGATTTTGAAAACGTGAAGACAGTGGACTTACCTGGTGTAGTATGCCTAGAAACAAATATGAACGCTGAGGGCTCAAGGGGATCCAGCGCTGTAATTAAAATAATACAGGTAGACGGTGAGGTCTCTCTGATACTCGCTGTCTACATTTAACATTCTGTTTACTTTTTCATTGCTTTCACAGTTCCATACTAATCTACAACTGGAAAAGTTGTAAATATAGAGGGTAACCAGTTTTGCTGCAGTTGATACCTTTCAAACATTTAAAATCGATTTAATATTACTGAAGCGGTGCTTCATCGTCAGTGGGTTTGACCTAGATACACAACCTTTTCCATAGTTTGATTACTAACTTGGGCGTATCTATGTCACAATTTGGGCGTATCCATGTCACAACTGCAGAATTTCAGCCATCTACTGATTGTAGGCATGATCGGAATAGTAATCACCTTGTTTTGGCTGCCACGCCCTGATTCCACTGGAACTGTGCTGTAAGCGGCGTTCAAACAAAACCCAATCAGTACCTAAAACACGCACTCGCTCGCTGACATTCTTTCCGCAAATAAGGACAGTATAATGATTGGTATAATGTGGTCACAGACTGACGAAATCGGCACGAAAGTTATCAGCTGTGTCCAAATGAATGAGAAATGAACGAAATTTATACCCTGATCATTATAGCTGAGTCTGATTTGTGCAAAAACGTAATTATGTTCCAGAATACATGAGTTAGACACCAAAACATTTGTATTGTATCACCACTTGCTTGACAAAGACATTAGAATCGTCGACACGTCGCCTATACAGAATACAGAAGTTGTATATCTATACAAATTGTCATTCTTCACCAAAACATTTGTATTGTATCACCACTTGCTTGACAAAGACATTAGAATCGTCGAAACGTCGCCTATACAGAATACAGAAGTTGTATATCTATACAAATTGTCATTCTTCACCAAAACATTCATTGATATGATCCTTATATTTTCCAGTCCAACCACGATCATCAGTTGTCTCCTGCATATTGGTTCGTTGAACGCCGAGAGCAGCTTAGAGGCGCGTGCAGACAGATCAAGCACCGGTCTGGACTTCAGCCGTTTTTAACCTACACCGAACACGTGATCGTAAATATAAAGAACAACATTTCATTTTGTGAAATCCCAAAAGTTGGTTCCATGTTTTGGCGATCAGTTCTGAGTGTTTTAGCAGGAAAAACAGACAATTTCCACACTGCGTTTGATAAAGAGTGGCTGACCTATCTCTCAGCCTTGGCGAACAGAGACAAACCACATTACGCTGCCACGAACAAGATAGTGTTTGTCAGGAACCCTTATTCAAGACTTCTATCATCATACATCGACAAGCTGTTTGCACCAAATCCATTTTATTGGAATTTGGTTGGAAAAGATATTGTGAAAACCGTCCGGCAAAATCCAACTGTAGACAGTCTAAGATGTGGCCATGACGTGACATTTCCGGAACTTGTTCGTTACTTAATTATCATGGACAACAAAGGAGTGAAGTATGACAGTCATTTCGTGCCAGTCAGCAGGCACTGCTCGTTTTGTGATACGCACTACGATTTTATCGGCCACGTCGAGACGTTCAGGGAAGACGTGGCTCACATTGTGAACGCCGTCCCCCAACTGAAGAAACAGGTCAACCTGTCTGCTGTTGAAAGCGGGACAGATCTTCAGCAGTTGGAACGAAACTCCCATAATGTGTTCGGCATGAGAAAAGACAGAATACTAAAATGCATGACATTTCATGAAGCTCTAGTTCGACTCTGGCGACGGTGGCAGGTCCGAGGTATTTTGCATAAATCAGAAAAGTTTCCTCTGAACAAGCAGCAGTCAAGTTCAGTTACGTTTGAAGATTTTCACAAGATGGCAGTCGCGGCTTGGAGTCGATCCGGAAGCGGAAGTTGGAAGTCAACTAATAGGAAAGAGGCTCTGAAAGAAGCTTTTAGCGACCTTGACCCTGATGATTTAGAAAAATTGAATGTTATGTTCGAAAATGACTTTTTACTTTTCGGATATAGTCGTGACATTGAATTATATGGCGAGAAGGGAGCAGATTATAAATACTTTAAGCTTGATTAAAAACCAGTTGCCACCAACTGCATGGTATGTTTATTCAAGATTCAAGATTTTTATTTGTAGAAAGGCCATATGACCCAAAGTACAAATGTACAATATAACATAAGATTCATAAGAGTTACTTTCTTTAGTTTTATACATTCAAACACATGTTTAAGAAATTTAGCAAGATTTAACAGAAAGATGTTTATTATTTGATTGGCACAGGTTTGAAACATTATTATGGTTACCACTACTACAATTTGGGATGAATCGCTTTTTCTCTGTTACAAAATATACACAATCATTCAGTACATGTTTTTCATTCAGCATTACATTACAGTGTTTACAAATGTAGGAGTTATTAGTAAAGAAATTTTTCTTACTCAGATATCCACTTCTAAATAAAGTTAATACATGTCTATGCTCATGGGAACTAATGTTTAACAAATATAATGTTTCACAATTAAGTAAAGACTTATGAGAATTATAAAATGTGAGAAAATCACTCTGAAGAGAATAGTGCCAGTTCTGATAAGCACATTCTTTAACACGTTGACTAAAGATATAAATGAAATGATCTGGATCCCCAACCTCTTGGCTTATCCAAACAAAACCATAGCCATAACGAAAAAGTAAATATTTTACTTGATTGGCCTTTTTCTCTCGAGAATGGACAACAGCATATTATAACATTGGAAGGCATGGTATGTTTATGTTTGACATATATTTGACAGATTTCATCAACATTTAAGATTGAACTATTTATAACCAGACCGAAATGAAGCCACCCTGGTCCCATACAGTATTCTAATAAAACAGTCACCTATGATATGTTCGATGACCACTTCGCCCAGTACTGAGAATACCAACCTGTAGTAGTGTAGAGCAATTAATATCACATCTGGTAGGCAGATCAAACATTTGAATATGATCGTGTATGTGAGTGTTTCAATGTTATATACTCATGCCAATAATGGTTGTCATATTTTGCCAGTGATATTATATCGAAAACGTATTTAGTTCTCTATATATAAAACAGATCAATCGGGACTCAGGGGTAAGCACTGAAGGGTACATTTAGGATTCAGGAGAGGTGGTTGTGTCGTACCGTCAGTCATCAGTACTTTCCAAGTGGCTTATAATGGATTCACAATTAGTGAACGGGTCAGTTGGGGTTTTCGCCACTTTTAGCAATACTCCAGCTCCGTCTGGAGACACCAGACGTGGGTAATCGAACCCGAACCTTGCTTCCCCACCACCCCTGAGTCAAGATTAAACCAAACAACTACCCATGAAGATCCGGATTAGAATTGGTCTTCAGCAAACCACGCTTGTCGTAAGAGGCGACTAACGGGATCGGGTGGTAAGGCTCGATGACTTCGTTGACACATGCCATCGTATCCCAATTGCGTGGCTCGATGCTCATGACGTCGATCACTGAATTGTCTGTTCCAGACACGATTATTTACAGACCGCTGTCATATAGCTCGAATTGTGCTGAATGAGGCGTTAAACATCAAACAAGTCACCAACCCTAACACTTGACTTGTGTGATGGGCGTCATCGAATCCAAACATCATACAATACAGAACAAATCTTTCCATACGACTGGTTGGGGATACACCCGAACCGGCCCCAAGCCGAACCGGCCCCTGGATATTTAACCCAAACCGGCCCCTGGGTTAATTAACGGTAATCAGACAGACATGGAGATTTCAATTAATTTATTATATATATACAGACATGAAGATTTCAATCAATTTATTATATATATACAGACATGAAGATTTCCTTTTCCTTATTGTGCCATCCTGAAGCTACTTCTTAGTTATGAGAGATGTTATTAGAATAAGGGTCTAGGATGGAGTCTTGATGCCCTGTGAATATTCTGTCCAGATGTCTTGTATCTGCTGGTTAAATGCCCTGGTCTTCCGCGATTGGTGGCGTGACAGTTGACCCCAGGCCAGCAACTGTGGTACCTGGGGTACATACAGGGCTTCTTTGTGAAGGAGGTTCACCAAAAGGAAGAACTGAAGGTTCCTTTTGCCGGCCGCCTGGTTGACCTTCTTCGTCATTTATGTTAAAGGAACTTTAAGTCATATGTCAATGTAGAAATATTTACTTCTCGGGGCCGGTTTGGGTCAAATATCAGGGGCCGGTTTCAGATTCATTTGCCTACAAACACTTTAAATCATTAGTACATGTAGAAAGCTACCTATCATTATCTATATCTCCCTATCTAAAATCTCTCCTAGCAAAGTTCAGGTGTAGCAATTTTGGGTTAGGTATAGAGGTAGGAAGATATAATGACATACCAATGGCTGACAGAGTCTGTTTTTACTGTAAATTAGATAATATGAACTGTATTGAAGATGAAACACATGTCCTTTTTGATTGTCAATTATATAATGATGCTAGAAACAGGTTTATTACTCCAGTTTTGTATGATAATGTCAGCAAACAAAACTTAATACACATACTTAACAGTAAAGATAAAAATATTATCATAAATGTTTGTAAAATTTTGAAATGTATACATAAAACTAGAGCTGCAACTGTGAAAACATAAACCTGTCACTTTTATGTGCGCTTATTTCAACCAATTTATTTTGTGTTATGGGCCTTTGGCCTTTATACTGAATAAAATATCTGTCTGTCTGTCTGTCTGTAGTTTTGTACGCTTAGCAAAATCATATGGAATTTTGGCGTCGCTTTAGAAACAAAGCGACTGTAATTTCCATTTTATTCTGATTATTTACAGGCCGCCGCCGCCATGTACCTACAATACTGCTGAGTGACGTTAAACACACAACCAACCAAACCAACCTCATGTCATGTATGAGTGTAATAAATTCAGTGTCAGAGACTAGGGTTTTAGACCTAAACACAACATTGTTGTAATAATGTATGTACAAAGGTCCACAGGGGCTTGTAACGCTAAAAACTGCCATCAACTGTCACTGACGGGGTCTTAGTACTATATATTTTATTGCACAGTTTTCTCTTTCCTTAGATTTACTTCAATATTCCGGAAATACATAGTTCAGGAAAAACCAATGTAATGAATCCACTGATGGGATTAAAACAGCCATGAGCTGCTACTTGAACAGGGATGTAACACTACAGTGTGTTCCTCAAGCCTGTAGTGTTATTCACATATTGTGTTACACTTTTCATTTTGAGGTCTATTTACTAACAATGTGTAGATCACAATCATCATCACAATCATCATCACAATCATCATCAAAATCATCATCACAATCATCATCACAGTCATCATCACAATCATCATCAAAATCATCATCACAGTCATCATCACAATCATCATCACAATCATCATCACAATCATCATCATCATCATCACTGTATCATCATCATCACAATCATCATCACAATCATCATCACAGTCATCATCACAATCATCATCACAATCATCATCACAATCATCATCACAATCATCATCACAATCATCATCACAATCATCATCACAATCATCATCACAATCATCATCACAATCATCATCACAATCATCATCACAATCATCATCGCAATCATCATCACAATCATCATCAGTCATCATCACAATCATCATCACAATCATCATCACAATCATCATCACAATCATCATCACAGTCATCATCACAGTCATCATCACAATCATCATCACAGTCATCATCACAATCATCATCACAATCATCATCACATCATCACAATCATCATCACAGTCATCATCACAATCATCATCACAATCATCATCACAGTCATCATCACAATCATCATCACAATCATCATCACAGTCATCATCACAATCATCATCACAGTCATCATCACAGTCATCATCACAGTCATCATCACAATCATCATCACAATCATCATCACAGTCATCATCACAGTCATCATCACAATCATCATCACAGTCATCATCACAATCATCATCACAAACATCATCACAATCATCATCACAGTCATCATCACAATCATCATCACAATCATCATCACAGTCATCATCACAATCATCATAATCATCATCACAATCATCATCACAATCAGTCATCACAATCATCATCACAATCATCATCAGTCATCATCACAATCATCATCACAGTCATCATCACAGTCATCATCACAATCATCATCACAGTCATCATCACAATCATCATCACAGTCATCATCACAATCATCATCACAGTCATCATCACAATCATCATCATAGTCATCATCACAATCATCATCACAGTCATCACAATCATCATCACAGTCATCACAATCATCATCACAATCGTCATCGCAGTCATCATCACAATCATCATCGCAGTCATCATATATATTGACTAAATTGTCTTCTTCTAAAATAATTGTTTTATACAGACTATATGAGTTAAGCAGTGTGAATGGGGCTTTGTACGATCTATTTGTATGGGTTCCATTTCGAGATGTAATGATATTGTGACTTGCAATCACTTGCAGGTACTCGTTAAAAATGTTATATAGACTGGAGAACTGTACATGATGCACACAAAATTTCCCTTGAGAAATCATATTATCTAATGACTTGTTCATTTGGGCGACTGAAATAATTCGTTATGAATATTTAGTTGTCCGAGGGTTGATAATCTTGATGTTTTACTCATCTTTATCATCAAAATGACTTTCATTGCAAATTATGATAAAAATGATATCTGTGCTATTGCTATATTTATTTAAGTAAATTATAAAGTTGCTAGATGATATTATGTGTTGATTAGGAAAATTATAGTCTTTAATACCACAAACTAAAGCTATAATTACCATGTAATCTTATTAAAACACATATCCTTGCAAAGACTCAAGGACTCCACCCTCACTGTAACCAAGTTCTCTACCAGTGAACATACATACTGGTAGGGAATTAGGGGCAAACCTTTATTGTCTTTGCCGCGATTCCCAATGCATTTGTTGAGTATACATTCATATTTGAATATTGAATAGTATTTTTTCGCCCGCCCGCCCCACTGTTGGAACAGTCAGGCGATGAGAAACACAGAATTAAATACGGACGCCCTAAGGGTTAGTGG